GATCTGATCGGGGGAGTGGAAGCTCGATCGTTCGTCCCGATCGAAGGAACGCGCGTACGGCTTTTATATTTCCTAAAAATCCAACGCGTTGTATAAAAGTCTCGAAAATGGATGGTTCGACGGGGAGGGTGGGAGGGACCGACCACCGGTGGGATATGTCACGGCCGATACGAACTTTTATCAATGCCCGTCCGTCCAGGGGAGGGTAATTCGAGAGTATACGAAAAAAGGGAAGAGGCGAACAGGAGGACGAAACAAGCGGGGCAAAGGAAAATCGATGCGTACCTGTGGGACACATTTTCCAAGCAGGTAATCTTCGTTGGCGGACGAGATATTACATTTGAATAAACGTCGCCGTCGATAACCGCGACAGATCGCGAATACCGTATCGATCTACGCGAACTGCCGCGCGTAAATATCCCATGGGAAATGTTTGCTAATATCGATCATATTCTCATTAATGGTATATGGGTTTAGGAAGCGACAGAGGGGGCCGTGTCTTATCGTATGCGAGCCTACGCGACCAAGTCTCTGCAACCCCGTTCGGGAAGGTCCTTCGCGAGCGTTCGACGCGTCGCGACGGTTTAATCGACGAGATTCGGGGCCGATCGCTTCGCGACGTAAGGAGAAGGAGAGAAGGGGGAAACGGAAAGGGGGGAAGAAGAGGGAAATGGAGGGGAAAAACAAATATGGACACGTCGAAGGCAGACGCGAGCGTGAAAAGTTCGGAGTCGCGCTGGAGGTGGCGCGAGCGTGTACGAGCGTGTGCCGGTGTGTTCGAGAGCGCACACGAGGGGGTGGCGAACAAAAAGTTTCGGGGCGCGGCGGGCATTTATCTCGGCGGACGATGATAAAGGGAAACAGAGGTTCGCGGCGTGTTGGAGCGAATAAAACGTAGTCGCGGGCTGCGTCGAATAATGCCTATCACGGAGAGTAAATCGGAATTTACCCCAAACGCGAGCAAGCGAGCGAGCGAGTTAGCGAACGAACGCACGAACGAACGAACGAACGTGCGACCATATCTCGTTGGGCCCATCCCCTGTGGCCACTCGCCGCGTCCGCCGGTGTTTACCGCAATTATTAAATGTAAACTCATATTTCGTAATTGCCAAATATTGGCGGTCCGATCGGTCGGTCGTGGCCCGATGCATCTCGCGAGGGGATGCTAGTGCTCTCGCGCGTTTTCATCCCTTCTCGCATAACAATCCTTCCCGGCGGCTCTCTGAATGAATTAAACCTCGACGAATCGATAAATGGATTTGCCGCGGTGGTTCGTCCCCGGATACACTTTGCCCTCTCTGTCTTTCGAGCAACGACTCCGGGCGACTTTGCGAAATCCCGCAGTCACGGTTCCTTCTAACCGCCTCTTTATCGCGTTAACGAATTTTTAATTAAACAAACCACGCGTCGGCTGGTCGGCGAGGGAAGGATTTTCAGGGAAAAACGCGACGCTAAACGGGTACACTCGGTTCGAAGAAGTTAATCGGATACGCGATTTTCGATAGCCAACCGGTGAGGGGAAAGGTCCGCGCTGTTGACGAGGGTTGTCAACGGCGTGGCGTCAGCTTGTGTAACTATCGGTAATTAATCAGAATCATCCCCGTATATCGTGTCCGTCGGGTGCGGTGAAGGTAACGGGCGGGGAGGGATGGTTGACGGTGGCGATGCCATGTGGTGGTGGTGTTGGTCGCGAAAGGGTAGTTAACCAGTGACGTCACGCCCGTGGCGACATCTGGTCCGGCACTAACCACCGGACACTGCAGAACACTGGACACTAGACTGGCCCTAATTCTGGATCAGGATCAAAATTACCCTTGCGCGATCGCGTCTAGCCTCTCCGCGTCGGCAGCTGCTTCTAATTAATTCCGCGTTCGGCACGTTCTACGACCGCTCTCTATCCCTTTCGGTCGAAACGACCCCGAAACGATCGCGTCCTAACGACCGATAAATTTTTTATTCCGTTAACCTCGTTGACCGCGTTTAGTCCGAGAGATCCGCGGCGAACGATATCCAATAATTTCCTCCATTTTTGCCCACCGTTTCGTCCCTCTTTTTCCCCGCTCTTCTCATCTTTTCGCGTTTTTTCCAATTTTCATTAAACCTACTTTTTCCCGTTTCTCGTTCATTCGCGCATCGAGTGCGCGTTAGGCTCTAAACACGGCCGCACGCAAACTTTCGAACCGATCAAAACGCGAATAGTTTGGACGCTGGACGCTGTGGTGCGTAACGCCAGGTTCAAGCACGTTCCTCCATGCCCGTGGCTATCAATTGCGGCTAATCCTTTTCCAGGATCACCGGGAAACTCTTGTCCCTTTTCCCGATGGCTCCCTTCGCGGGTACGGGGATGGATCGGGCGAAAATTCAGTCGTTAAATTTTCGCGTTCGCGCGTGAATCTTCGCGAGTCGTGTTCGCTAACGCGTGGTCGCGTAATTGGCCAGCGTTTACGCGGTAATGGCGGGCCGGTATCGTTTTAAAAGGGCGTAACGTAACCCCCTGGTGGACAGTTAAAGTCCGGCCGGGTCGTGGAACCGGTCATGTATATTAGATACCCAATTCCAGCGGTAATCCAGCCATAAATATCTTTGAATTATATTTTCCACCGGGCTGGACACCATCACGAACGATTTGTTCTAAAAGGTGGTGGGGGTGAGGGTCGGCGAGAGAGGCGGAAGAGGTGGGTCGAGCGCCGCGAGGGCGAAAGAGAGAGAGGAACGGGCTTTATTTAGCCGTTAATCGCTCAATTAAACTGGATCGCTCGAATTAGCTTTTAATCCCGGACGCGGCGGTACCGTGGGCGGTGTTTAAAAAAATCGAAATGAAATTTTCAGAACGAGCGCCTACTACTTTTTCCCCTCCGATATCCCCAGCCCGATCGTCCATGCGTATCAACGACCGATTTCCCGCACGATCGGTAATAATTTCTCCGTTTCTTCCTTACCGTCGAGTTTGCGTCGACGTAAGGCGAGAAACGTGGAAGAGATTTTTATAAAATCGCATTTTCCCGATACTTTTCGCGATGATGTATAGGCGAATGGAATAATCGAGGAGAGGCAAAAATAACGAAGCTGTAAACGCGTAAAATCGTGGGGATTTAGATGTTCTTCGAGGAAAATTCCCTATGAAGTGTGTCGAACTCGGCTGGCACTGTCCTCGAAATGGGCTCGATGTCCTCGAGAAGGCGGGTCGTCGTTGGGCGAACGGGATGGGAGTTTTATCTTGCTCCACGGTTGGCGAACACCGGCACGACCTTCGGGGCTAATCTAATCCCATTTACATCGCGGCACCGCGACCGGATTGACGTGCACGGAAATAAATCGGGACGGGGCGAACGCGTGCACCATCGTGGGGCCGTGTAAATCCGTGCTTTCTCCCCGAACAAATCGAACGTCGGGCCTGATGTAAATGAATTCCGCTCTAATTGCAATTATGTGCCCGGCGAGTGCACATAAATGTTCGCTGTTACGCGATATATGACGCATCACTCACGACCGGGCCGTGCGTCATTGCGAATTTATGAAATAGCGATCGCTGCTATATCCGTATCGCGCTAGTCTTGCACCGGTCGCGTCATAATTGCAATCGATAGTTGACGTTATATATAATTGGCTGGCCGGGTCGAGACGGCGGCCCATTACGTATTTACGCGCCCCCGTCTTTGTCGCTTGCTCGCGGACGAAGAAGACCGGGCCGAGACGAAAGCCTTCCGATGCGACGTAGTGGGCCGGATTATACGGTAACGTCAGTCACAGGACATTAACGTTGGTCTGTGCTTGTCAAGTTAATTTTAAAAAGACACGGACGACGCCGGCTGCTTGTAACCGAATTACGCTTATTCGGCGTGAACGGCGATCGATAATAAATCACGTTACGCCGTCCTAGGCCAAATGCCATTCTCCAAGGGTAAATCATTAAAACGTTGATAGCCGTGCACGCCAATCAGCAAGCATACCGTGTAAATACGCGATGCAAGTCCCCCAATCCCCTCCAACCCCGCGAATCACCGGCCGCGTCCTCTTCCCTGAAATCACACCATCCTCCTAACTGATTTGCTGTTTAGCTAGGCCGATTTATTTATCGGTCGGCCGTGATTAGACTTTCGCTTTACCACGGACACACGGCCACGTCAAACATTGACCGGTCCCGCTTCATCCCCTAACGATCGCTGCGCCCCGATCGCGAAAAACACTTGGCACGCCCGCGAGAGATACGCGTGCCTGTCTTCTTTTCGCGTTAATGCCAAATAACTTCCACCTGTTGCTACAAAAGAAAAATACGTTGCGTGGATCGATGATGCTTGGCCAGCTCGCGTATGCGAGAAAATTTCGCCGTTCGGTAATTAGCGGACAGCGCGAAGATCGAGTGGGATCTTTCAAATTTTGCCGACAGACGAAAATTCTTGGAAGAAACCGTACCTGCTCGTGTTCCCCGGTAACTTGCACGCTTCGTTCGCATTTTTCCCAGCTGCACGCGTTCGCCTGTGGTAAAAATTCGTGGCAGCTTGTACGGACATCGGAAACCACCGCCCAACCGGTATGCTCTGTAACACTATCGAAAAGTTCAGCACGGAGCACTTTACGTGGTAAAAAGTTGGGCGAATAATAACGCGACGGGTCGCATTAACTATCGGCCCGTGTCCTCGAGAGTCTTCGGCGTCGTTAGTTTCCCTTAATTCCCCCGCTTGCTCCGCCGCACCACCCCCCGACCGCTGGTGGCCGTGTCGGTCTCCGGATCGAAGAAGTCAGTTCGCAAGTTCTCGAAGCTCGGACGGGAGAGAGCGGTTCTCACGCTCGTTAGAAGCTCAAGGAAAAAGCACGTTAGGGGTGGGATAGCCTAGGAACGTGGACACCCACGAAGACGTGCCCCTTTCGGGATGTCCTATCGTCACCCCGAGCTTATTCCGCCCCTTAAGTTCTGGCCACACCCGCAATCATGCGCAGTTTCCACCCATCGGCCAATGAAAGCTCGAGAGCTTGCAAGCTCTGCTGAGCGGCTTTCGAGCCGAGCCACTCCGACAAACACCACGTGCCACGCGGCCGAGTTGCACGTGCGTCCGCGGAGCTGTCGAGCTTTTGCGCGTCGTGGGTCGCGAGTCGAGCCCTCCAACCGACGCGTCTTTTCAGGCACGACCGTCGCGTTTCGCTATTTCTTCCGATTTTTCCCGTTGCACCCTCGCTCAGACACACCCCGTTCCCATTATTCGCGCCGTTCACCGTGAATTCGCGTATTCGTTCCTCGTTCCGTCGTTTACGTTTCGTATGCCGAAGAGAAAGATCGCCTGGCTGACGAGACAGAGGAAGACACTGGCGCTTCGTGGTCCGGAAAAGGCTGGCGGGTCTAGCCGCGAACGTATTCGAGGCGAATCTATCGAGAAACCCCGAGAGGGAATCACGCAGAACGTAAGTAAGAGTTTCGTTATTTTTCGAACGCGATCGGGATCGGTTACGATGACGATCGATGACAGAGATAGATAGAGATAGGCTCGAATTCCACTTGACGTGTCTGGCCAGTATTCAACAGTTGGTCCTTCTTTTATCTTCCAAAACTCGACCCTTCGTGCTCCCCCTACGTCGAACCCTTAACAGGTTCGCTCTTACGTCACCCTCGATTCCTGTGGCAGGAGATTGTTTCTCCCTGCTAAGAGGTTGTCGACAACTTCCGTCTGTAAAATAGACAGGTCTGAAGCGTGAGAATGTCTCGTCCCTGTCTGTCGAATCTTCTTTCCCCATCGCGACTGTTGCCAATATGTCGAAAGAAAAAAGTTCGCAAAGAGATTTCGCGAAAAATATCGACAAAGCGATCTATCCACCTACGCACGTTTCGTCGGGGAAAAAATCTCGTTCTCTCGTGCGAGAAATACACGATTAACGGAGAAGGCGAGCGTGACTGAAAGATTCGCACGCAAAAAGAAGAAAAAAGAAAAAAAAAAAAAAGGGACACGCGGAAGGAAAGGAGCGAAGAAAAAAAGGCGGCATCCACGGGGCGAACAGAAGGTGAACGTGAAACAAGGGAACAACGTTTATCCGCTTATCCGCGTAATTCTTTTCGCGGTCCGGCCGGATGCTTGCGGAGGAATTCGCGAGCCGTGGGCAGTAGGTGTGGCCATAGGTGTAACATATTTATGTTGTGAACCGGCCGAGTGTGGGCAATAAATAGCGAGCGCACGACCGGCCACGGGGCCAGCGGGGGGTGTGTGGGCGCGGGGAGGGCAGGTACGAAGCGTAGGGGCAGTTCGTTGAGGCGCGGGGTTAGAACGATTACGCTTTCCAAACCCCTGGTCGTTCGACCGAGTCACTGGCACCGCCACTGGCACCACCATCGGCACCACCACCGTATCTACCCCCGCGTCGCCCACACCCCCGTACGTCCTATCACCATCTATCTTTCTCTCTTTCTTTCTCCCTGTCCCGTATCTCGCGTTTCGTCCCCGCGTTTCAACCCCGCGTATCCCTACCAACCCCTTCGCTCACCTACATCCCCCGTCCCCCGGCAGTGTCCCGTCCCAGTGGAGGCTGTATGGTGCCCGACGAACAATCCTATTCGTTTGTTTCCAGCCCGTATGCACGCATATACGGAGGCATGCAATTTCGGCGTTAGGAATGCGCGAACGAGCAGATCGCAGACAATGTTTGCGGTGGACGGAGGACGCGGTATGCTTCTTCAGAATGCGCCGCGAAAGGGCTTCCGGGCTAGACAATGGGAGATGGAACGCTGACTGGTCCGTTTAAACGGTCCCGTCCCTCGTAAATATTATTTTCATTCCACCCATGTATTTCACCTCGACGAATAGAGAGCGGATAGATAACGCTACGCGACGCGGTACCTGTCGAGGTATCTGGAACTGGACGGGCGCGACTGTTACGTTCGCGAGAGGTCGAACGCGAGAGCTCTGTCTTGGACACAGACACGCGCGGAACACGAGGCTATGCGGGCCATCTTAGGAAGCGAGCACCCCTCGGCATTAAGGATAACAGGAACGCGGCGCCGAGTGGGCGCGCGTGTGTCGGCTGTCCGGCAATCCTAATGATGCATATCTCTCCTCGGCCCGTTATGTCTTGAATGTCTCGACGATGCGATATCTGGCGGACCGGTATCGGTCGGTGAGGCCGGTGCAGGGGGCCAGTGGGGGGGCTGAACAACGGGAGAAGCACGAAAGCTAGCCGGAATCGGGGTGGTGTATGGTCGCAATGAGGTTGAGAGCTTGCGGCCGGATGCCAGTCTAACCATGTCTAGCGTACGTTTACTTGCAAGCTTGCCAGACGCTCGTACGCATCGCCAGCATCCGAGCAATGCGGCTCAAGAGTCCGCGTCGCCGCTGACGATGCGCTTCAAGATGCAGTCCGATGGCGAGCGTGCTTCTGTAGCCAGGATTGGCTCCTTGGTCGTTGGTTAATCTGCACGGGGCGTTTTAGGGTAAACGTGACCTGGCGTGTCTAGAGAGCCAACGATATTTCTTCCACAGTTCTGCTCGATGCTCACTTTCTTCGGCGAGGAGGCTTGCTTGAGGATGAAATCGCGAAACACGGGAATTTCTTTGGAAATTTTATCCACGAGGTTATTACTTTCGCGCGACTTTATTCGTCGTTGTTGGAGAATAGAGAAAAATCCGGTGTCATCTTCCGTCCGACTTGAAACGTGTCACTGGTTTCGTAGAGAAGGCGTGGTCGAGGGCACTACGTTCGATGGAGCGGGAAAACGAGAAACGCGAATTCCATTTAGCATACAAACGCGAACGCGGACGCACGCAAATGAATTTTTTAAGTGTCCTTTTCGCGAGAACACGCGCGTATTTCGACGCTTTGGCTGCGTTAACCCGGCGAGATTCGAGGACGCGCGATGGGTAATAGGCGGCCGCGAACGAAATTTCCACCCCCCTTACGCCGGCCGCCACCCTCGCGCGGCACGGTGTGTGCGTACACCTCGCGCATTCCGCAGCGAGATTGCGCAAAAATCGGGCAAAACAAACGCAACTAATTTAACTGCTTTCGAACAATTAATCCGAAGCATTTAATTTAATTGCGCCGCAGCCCGTCGAGACCGGGCAGCGTCAGTTGAAACAACAACCGATGCGAGACCCGGCCGGAATTTTCGGCTCGTCGCGCTTGACTCGAATTCTTTCGTATGCAAACAACCGAAAAAAAAAAAAAAAAAAAAAAAAAAAAAGGGGAGAAAATACACGCGTGTCTAGCGGCGCGAAATCAAACTGCTATCCATGGACATCGAAAGATGGAGCGAATATCGGAATCGGCGACGCGGAGGAAATCGCGAACGCCGAATCGTCCACGACAGTGGAATAGTGGAAGGTGGAAAACGCGAGTTAGGACCGTGTGTGCTCGTCGCGAGAGAAAAAGCTGGCTCGAAAAATGGATATACCTACGCAGGAAGATTGAGGATCGCGCGTACCGGTGTTCGGAGAAAGACTGGTCGGTGGAAAACGAACCAGTGGGTAGGTGTAATTAATAGCAAACCCGTATAAATCAGAGACAGGCTGGATGCACGTTGGTATGCGCCGTTACCGATGCGGGATTATGCCCAGAGGGGCGGTTACCCCACGACCCGCTAATTTTTCAAACGGCCGCCATAATGGTCCCGGCTAATTACTGATTTTTATCTCCACGAGTCGGTACTGTGAGAAAGAGTCGTTCGACCACGAGGAGAGCGACAGAGAGGAAAAAAGTGAGCGAAAGAGACGTACGAAGGGAGGGTGGGACAGGGAGAGCGTGGAAGAAGAATAGGATTCGGGTCAACGGTCGTTTTGTATTGCGATTTTAAGCGACCGAGGAATTTTCAGCGATAATCCGCGTAGTCCTGTCGCGATCTAACCGTATTTTTCGCCATCTCGTCCAATTCTTTCCTCGATTTTCGTTCCACGCGAACACCGGGAAGTACCCGACAGCTATCGACGAGGGCGTCGGAGAGTCGGCGAATAGTTTCGAAGCTCATGGCGTTAATGCTTCCAATTGCCATTAGGCGGACGCCGCACGGAAACTTACCGAATTTGCTGGAGGATTGCTGTTCACGTGTACGGGACGTTTCAAGTTACACGCCGGCCGCGTATTTTGCGCCGGTGAATACAGCTAACTACCCCCAAACACCTATGTACTTAACGTAACCCATGTAAGCTCACGCTAGAACAAATTTACCCCCTGAAACCCCCGAGACAGGTCGCGTCTCTCCCGGCCATCCACTTCGAATCCCTTCTCACCCCTCTAATTCTCCTATGGAACACCGATGTTATGAAGTTGTGTTGAACTTTTCGCAAGCATAGTTTGCAGAACACCCTGGGGTGACTGCAAGGCTTACCTTGGCTCGTGACATATATCTACGGCGCAGTTCTAACAAACCGTCGCCGAAGGGTGGGCGGACACGAGCGCGAGGGGTGAGTCGCACGAAATTTGCGGAAGAACGCATCAACCGCGCGTGGTTCTCTTTCGATTTCGACCACGTCCCTGCTGCAAAAGTCGGCAATATCGTATCGGCTACCTGTTGCCCGGCAGCACGTCAATCGACATGTCAATGCGATAATTCAGCTTTTAATGAAATTCACAGCGGCGACGTGTGTGTTGGATCTTGGAAATTATGTTATTAAGCACCCTCGTTTCCCAGGCAGGGAACGCAACCTCCGCAGCCAAGCAGGCAAACAGTTTAAACGTTGGATTCTTCGGGGCACAGCTTCCTCTTTCGGGGTACTTTCGTGACATCTTCTTCGACCCCTATCGGCTGGATACTCGGTTTGGGGTAAATTCGCGCGGAATATAATTTTCTCGCGATTTTATCGGTTTTTTGGAAGAACAGAGGGCGTCTTCTTTTCGAGACGAAAGCGCGCGTGTACGTGTGGCGTATGCAGCCGAAACGACGCACGCGTTAGGAATTCTCGGCACGGCAGTCGGAGCCAACAGGCCCGGCAGAAACTTACGGGCCAACTTTGAGGGGGGTAACAGCATTACAACGTTATTAGATTTACCGCAAGCACCTACCCCGGAGGCACTCTTGCACATTACACACATAGCCGTTCCGAAGTATAAGTAACCCTAAGCGCCAGGACTAAAGCCCGGCTCGTGCTCCCGGTGTCTTGTACGTTAAATTATGCGCGTGTGCCTCGCAGGTACGAATCAGAGGCATTCCTTCGTACCCTGTCCCTTCGTTACCCCTCGATCATCTCGCGTTCGAAATTTCAATCGCGAATCTCCAATACAACCTCGAGAGTCTCTGGAATTATTCATTCGCTCGGGCGAAAGAAACGGTGAAATCGGGGAGGAAGAGGAAAACTATAGCGGAGATAGAAACGGATAGCGAACGGACGATTGAACGAGAAGGAGAGAGAGAGAGAGAGAGAGAGAGAGAGAGAGAAAGAGAATGGTAGAAATTTCAGTGCGAGTAGCTATTGAGTAGCTACCCT